AAACTATATTTGATGTTTGAATATTTCGTTCGATTTGGTATTTTAGGAAAAGAATGAATGTAACAATGACTTTTTTCTAGTTATACCTAATTTGCATTCAATTAACAATTGAAAGAAATGAAGGTTTTTCTCGAGAATCGCCCTTTTTCAATTTCTTCTTAATTGCCACTCGTTTAGAATAATATACAGGGTGTCCCAGAAAAAGTGTTGAAGCCGCAGAGCAGTCATTCTGTAAGTGTTTCTGAACAACAATTTCCTTTGTCAAAATCCAAAGTGAAGCACGGTTTTTAAATTATTAACGAAAAACGCTGACCAATAAGAGCACGTGTAGGGCCCGCGTTAAGCTACGACCGAGCGTCACGATCCGAACCAATCTATCCGTGGAGAGGAGCGGGACCTATACGTGTTCTCATTGGTCAGTGTTTTTCGTTAATAATTCAAAAACCATGGCTCACTTTGCATTTTACCAAAGAAAATTGTCGTTCAGGAACATCGCCAGAATTACCCCTTTTCGGCTCTAACACTTTTTCTGGTACACCCTGTACAGAAAATTTGTACACGGAGATATCGCAAACCATACATTCAGAAAAAGTAATGAAAGTTTCTATCAAGTTTTTAAGAAAATCGTTCGTATTCTTCATAACTCATCAATTATATCATACATTTTGAGGGTAATACATATAACTGACAATGTGAAATAACATTCTTTGAAGAGAAATTTTATTCTTAAGAATAGATGAAAAAAGCTAATTAAAGAAATCATCTATAATAGAAATGGAGAACATATTCTGTAATAATAATCGGAAAGATTGGTTAGAGAAAGAATTTTCCTAACGACTTGCAAGCAATACCTGTCTACGTCTGTCATGAGGTATCAACAAGGATGAAGTGTGACTTGTTGCAGAGGGTCATCAATCACAATTCTACATTTTAACACTTTTATTGCAGTCTATTAGAGTTTACCCTTAGAAAAAACCTATAAATCTTCGAGTTCTCGTGACTTCCTTATTACTATTTAATTCTTGGTACTGCTGTCTTTAATGAAAAGCAACTATAAAATACATGAATTTTTTTTATTTTTATCGTCGTATGAACTGGCTGAATCTGCTGTGCATTGATAATTAGGAGTAATGCGAGTCATAAATATATCAGTTTATTGGAAACATTCGTTCATTAGCAATAAACAAATGAAAAGTCACGTTATTATCTCGCGTATGCACCCACAGTTCATTAAACAACGCAATTATTTAATATCCACCATTCTTCGTTAAAGCCAATAATAACGTATTTACTATACATGCGATGATTCTTCCAAAAATAAATATGCACGATCCTTTCAGCTAATTTCCATATCAATGTATAAGGACACATAATACCGGGTGGGCCAGAAATCCTAGTACAACTGGACAGGAGATGATTCTACGTTAAAAAAGAAGAAAATATTTTGGTATAACATTTTTTCAACCGATGCTCGTTTTTCGTTTCAGTTCCAAAGTTTGTTCAACTTGTAAACGATTTACAATTTACTTATCGTGTATTCCATTGCTCTAGTTTTCTCTGTCCGGGACAGTGTTTATAAACATTGACAACGATGAAAAAGCATTTACACAGTTCGGTTTACAATAAAAGTCATAGTTTATTAGACTCCCTAACAGTTCGCTTGTTTTCATTTACCTTCGTCTGATTAAGTCATCGTTAAGGTATGGCAAGATATTCCAATCGGAAGTATGTTGATATGTTATTTGCTTTAGGAGCTTGCAATGGTAATGCCAGTGCTACAAGTATAAATCGTTTACAAGTTGAACAAACTTTGAAGTTGATTTTCACGAAAACGGAGCTCCGGATGAAAAAATGATATACCAAAATATTTTTTTCTTTTTAACGTAGAATCATCCCCTGCTTAGTTGTACTACGATTTCCGGTCCAGTCTGTATCATGCAACACTTTGAAAGTAACGCGGTAGCAGTTAGTCTAATAATTATTAGAAATACATATTTCTTCGAAATCTCTTTGAATGCGGCAAGTTGCAGCTATAATAACCCTTTTTATTCGCACCTTCTATTAAATTCCTGAGATTCGTAGCCCGTGAGTCTGAAGGAAGATAAAATCTCGGCGATTATTCCAGTTCACTTTGTTGGATCGGAACGACGCAATTAACAGCGTTAATCCGGTCGATCGAATCCAAGCTGAAAGACGTTTCCTTTTATTCCATTTGACTCGATTTGAAAATTTTACCGCTGTTCTTCCGAATATTTAAAAGTAAGGTATATAGAAAATGACGTGAGCAAAGGGTAGTTTCAGAGATGGTTATCTCGCCCCATTATCTCTTTTCACATTGACGATTCCCAATCATGAATTCAGACAATTTAGATCCACCAAACTGATAAATGCCTTGAGGGGTTGAATAACCTCCCCCTTTTTCTGCTTTCTACAACACTTTCGCGATGAAGTACAAGATTTTAAAGTTAGGTAAGATTTTAGTGTTAGGAAATATAGGTTTTAAGTAAGATTTTAGTGTTAGGAGATATAATAGACATTTTCAAGCATTTGTTAGAAAAGTCATTATAATCTGCGGTTTCTATGCAATAAATATTAAGATTGATTAAAATGTCGCAAAGAGATACTGTGCTCCAGTGTTTCCCAATCTTTTGGGGTTTACGACACACTTC